TAAGTAATCTCTGCACCCAACGTGGGGCTCAAATCCACAACCCCGAGATCAAGTTGCATGCTGTACCTACTGAATCAGCCAGGCGCCCTAAGAATGACTTTTTAATAGACGGTTAAATAACTTTTAAATCTATTTAATAAAAGCTGCCTATAGTAATTTGAAACTTACCATCGTTCATTCAAAAATATGTAAATAAGGGCGCCTGGGTGGCTCAGTTGGTTAAGCGTCCGACTTTGACTTAGGTCATGATCTCACCGTTCATGGGTTCGAGCCTCGCATTGGGCTCTGTGCTGACATTCTAGCTCAGAGCCTGGAGCCTGCTTCAGATTCTGTATCTCCCTCTCTCTCTGACCCTCCCCTGCTCACGCTCTCTGTCTCTGTCTCTGTCTCTCTGTCTCTGTCTCTGTCTCTGTCTCTCTCAGAAATAAAATATATATATATATATATGTAAACAGGGGTACCTGGGTGGCTCAGTCAGTTAAGCATCCATCTTCAGCTCAGGTCATGATCTCGTGGTTTGTGGGTTGGATCCCCACGTTGGGCTCTGTGCTGGTAGCTTGGAGTCTGCATCGGATTCTGTGTCTCCCTCTCTCTCTGTCCCTTCCCCACTCATGCTGTGTGTGTGTGTCTCTCTCTCAAAAATAAACATTAAAAAATTTTTAATTTAAAAATACAAAAATAAGTTGTTAACAGTGGGAATTTCTTTCTTTCTTTCTTTTTTTATCTGAGCATAGTTGACACACAATGTTACATTAGTTTCAGGTGTACAACATAGTGATTGAACAAGTTTATACAAATTTATACATTATGATATGCTCACCACAAATGTAGCTACCATCTGTCACCAGACAACCCTATTACAATACCATTGATTATATTCCCTGTACTGTATCTTTTATTCAACAGTGGGAAATTTTTATTTTTTTAATTAAAAAATTTTTTTAATATTTTATTTATTTCTGAGAGAGAGAGAGCGAGAGAGCGAGAACGTGAGCAGGGGAGTGTCAGAGACAGAGGGAGACACAGAATCTCAAACAGTCTCCAGGCCCTGGGCTAGCTGTCAGCACAGAGCCCAACATGGGGCTCAAACCCACGAGCCGTGAGATCATGACTTGAGCTGAAGTTGGATGCTTAACCGACTGAGCCACCCAGGCGCCCCAACAGTGGGAAATTCTTAATCTCATTCCTTTTGTCTTCTTGAGCTCATATTTCTGTTCCACTTTTCCCAGAAAAGAAAAATGTTGTCCTACTGAAAATACAGGCAGCCCTCATTTTACACAGTAGTGCAAGACCATACAATGACTGTGCAAGATTACTTAGCAAAGTAATATTAATAATTAGTGGGCAATATTTTAATTGTGACCTTAGAATTTTTTGTAAGAACATTAAAAACTATCTTACTCTCAGTTACAAATATACAGGAAAATGAAAAACATGGTAATATCAGTATTTACTTAGTACATTGCAATTAGTAACATTGAGAATTGGAGTATTTCTTTGTTAAAAAAAAACGTGTTGAGTACTTTCAACAGTTCTTGCCTTCTTCTCGTCATATAACTTATAATACAGAGAGACCATCTTTCTATGCCCTAGTGAATTGTCATGCTTTTTCCCAAGTTTGGATCAGCTTCCAACATTTTATCCTTTGCATTGTCAGCATTGTGAAGAATCTCTACAGTTCCTTTAACACGAAGTTTTTTGCCAACATCACTTCTTCTGGGACGTCATTCTTTTTGTCAACAACTGCTTCCCTCACTTAAGTCCCTAAGTTTGCCTGCAGCAGTTTCCAAACTGGCTGTATATCCAAACTCTCTCGGATGGTGGCAGTGTTAACATACCTGTGGTTGGCTGTTTCTTCTAGTACTTTGTTATATTGTATTCAAATTTCACGTGTGGCATTATTCTTGTCAACTATTTGCTGAGCTTTCATTTTTGTTAGCCAATGTCCTCTCTCAGTGATTTATTTTTGTAAAATATTACATACATTTGTCACTGGCAGACAAGGAGGTGAAGACAACCACAGGTGTTGCTGTCTATATGTCTGCTGCCGAACTGAACAACAGATGCACAGTGACCAATCACCAATGACTTTGAAAGAAGAAACATGATTGGTCACTGATCATGATGCTCATCTGTGATTCATGTAGTGATTCGTAGATTGAGGAGCTGAGGTGAAATTTGTATTTTGTGCAATTACAGTTACTATACCATAGTGATTGAAATTTGAACCCCGTTTAGGGGATTGCTGTTATTTAAGCATGGTAACTGAAATTTATGCATGTTGGAACCATTCAAATAATGAATTATCTGGATATTTTTAACTTGAAAGCTTTTTATTAACCGCCCTTTAAATTTGTCTGCAACAAATATGTACATAAATTAAAATTTAAGCTATTATGTCCTTGATTCTTAAGTAGAAAAAAAATTATGGGCTGTTTAACATTACAATTATTATAATTGATTAGACAACAAAAGTGTGCTTAAATTAAAAGTAAAACTTTCAAAAAAATTTTCAGTCTGATGAATTGGGCTATTTTCTTTTCATTAGACCATATATCATTAGCTAAGTATTGCTTACTGTTGGAATGAGACAGAGTTCAATGTTTTGTTTTGTTTTTTAATTTCTAAGAGAGAGAGAGAGAGAGAGAGAGGGACAGCATGAGCAGGGGAGGGTCGGAGAGAAAGGGAAACACAGAATCTGAAACAGGCTCCAGGCTCTGAGCTAGCTGTCAGCACAGAGCCCGATAACGGGCTCGAACCCACGAACCGTGAGAACATGACCTGAGTTGAAGTCAGACACTTAACCGACTGAGCCACCCAGGCGCTCCGAGACAGAGTTTAAAATCAATGATTTTCCTGTTTTTCATTTCTACACATAAAATCCCTGAGAAAATGTGTTCACACAGACAAGCAGATGGAAATGAGAGGAATTTTATTATAACAGTGCCACTCATTTTGTGGATTCTTTCCAAGTTATTTGTCAAAAATGCTCTTTGACATTTGCTAAAAAAAAAAAAAAAAGGACTTTGAAAACTTCTGACTTCCAAAAGTACTTGTTATCCAATCATTAGAACGTCCACTTTCTTATTTTCCAGGAAGTGTACCAAAACGGCTTTGCCAGATATTATCAGCTCCTAGGAAGCCAATTATACACCTGTGCTGATTGCATATGTACAACTCCTAAAGACAGTGTTCACACTGCACTCTACTTGAGAGTAATGAGCTGGAATTGGGCAATGCACAACTTACACAGCTGTATGTAGTGGCCTTATAAATTATACCTATTATTTACTTAGCAACTTATTTAATCCAATATGTAAATGAAGTATACAAAATTTCCTGTATATATTCATCATTTATATACATCGATTATAATATCACAATTAGCATATTAAACAGTTAATGACATAGCAATATTTAGTGGAAAGATGTACTACATGGTAAAAACAAATAAAATTGTTATTTTTAGAAACCAAGAGTCTTTTGAAAAGCGAAGTGTGATGTCAAAAGTCGTTCAACTCCCTGCCAAGCTCAATATCTGCCAAGAGTCATTTATACCTCATCTCCATGGCAGCTCTTTATTTCCTTAAGACTTGAATTCACAGATGGCACATTTGTTTCCTTGAACAGTGTCATTAATTTATTTAATTTATGAATGCTAATTATATGTTTCTGAATGCATCCAATCTATTAGCATTGCAGTGGTCTCTTTGATAAAGTGTGCAGTAAAGAGGAACTGCTCTGGCAATACCCTACAGGATCTGTTCTGCCCTTGGCAAGTTGAGGCAGTCTAACGTATACTAGGATACACTGTTTTTGGCCTTTTTAAAAACTGAGATATCAGGGTGCCTGGGTGGCTTAGTCGGTTAAGCGTCCGACTTTCGCTTAGGTCATGATCTCGCGGTTCGTGGGTTCGGGCCCCGCGTCGGGCTCTGTGCTGACGGCCAGCTCAGAGCCTGGAGTCTGTTTCAGTCTGTGACTCCCTCTCTCTCTCTGACCCTCCCCTGCTCACGCTGCCTCTCTCTCTCTCTCTCCTAGAAATAAATAAAACATTTAAAAAATTTTTAAAAAATGATACTTTATCCATGTCATATTTTTGTGCAAAAATATTACCCTCTGGCAACAGAGAACTGTTGTTGAATCAGCAACTACATGTCCCACAGATATCTAAATCATAGGACTAGAAAGGACCATGTAGTCATTTAAAGCATTTTNCTCACGCTGTCTCTCTCTCCTGGAAATAAATAAAACATTAAAAAAAAAAACTGAGATATAATTGACCTGTAACTGATATACACTGTTAAGCAGTAATTCACAACTGGTGAATATCAGGCAATGGAAGCAAGAGTTTTAATTGGTCTATACAGCAATCTGAGTAACTGCACAAATGACAATATAGTGAATTCTATTATTGAAGAATCATTTATCACATGACACTTTGATTCTGGAAGCTACTACTCCTTGCCTGGGTGGCTCAGTCGGTTGGGTGTCAGACTTGGCTCAGGTTATGAATTAGCAGTTTGTGAATTCAAGCCCCATGTCAGGCTCTGTGCTGACAGCTCAGAGCCTGGAGCCTGCTTCAGATTCTGCGTCTCCTTCACTCTGCCGCTCCCTCACTTGCTCACTCTCTCTCTCTTTCAAAAATAAATAAACATTAAAAAAATGTAGAATCCCCTACTCTTAGGTGGAGTCCATAATATTTTCTATGCATCAAAGTTGGCATCATAGCCACAAACTTCAGAACAAACATGGAAAGAATGCCCCCACTTCAATAAGTCACAATCATGGCCTTGAATGATAACACAAACAATAACATCACTAACAGTTATGAAGGACAAGCTGTCTATAATAACAATTAACTACAAAGTTCATAATTTTTTGAAAAAATGTTTAAAAATGTGAATTTCCAAATTGAGATTGGAGAATTAAGTGTAAATTAAAGTGTGAACATCGTTTCATTATAATAGCTTTCACATGTAACATTTTTACGTCACGTCCTATGTGCTCGCACTTTTGTAATTTTATTTTGTCTTTCCGATAACGTTATGTTGAGAAAATATTGGTATTTTCTGTTTTACATATCACAAAACTAAGGATCAGAGAAATTTTGGTACTTGCTTGAGGCTCTATGTTACAAAAGTGGCAGAGATGAAACTTCAGCCTGAAACAAAAATCTCCTATACTTTTCTTCTCTACCAAACTGTCTACCTGATGTTGAGATATTGAACCCTTTTGTTTTTCTTCCATTTTGGGTGCAACATCCATTCTTCTAATTTTGCAAAAGAATCACCTGATGCCCTTGTCAGAATACAGATTCCTAGGTCTCCACCCCAGAGACCTGGTGGTGTTTGTGGGAAGCTGCATAACTACGATCTCACATAATTCAGTTGAGATTAACCTGTAGAATCAAACTAAAACCACCCAAATGAGAACAAACACTTGCTATTTTTTCACGTCTTGCTATAGCAACAGAGTAAGACACCATCACTTGCCTTTGGGAGAAGCTCAAAGGCAGGCAGGGGAGTGGACAGGATTTATAAAACTGAAAAAAGGAGGACCATCTTAGGTATGTTCGGATTGGAAGTTGTTGGCCTGGGAAAGTTAGAGGCAGGCTCCTCGAAGCAAGGGGTGTTTTATGTGATTGATTTGGGGAGCAATTGGCTTTCTCTGATTGGTCCTGTATCGGAAGTCCAGCACAAAGAGGGAAGTTGGCAGTCCTTGAGGATGTCCTAACTGTTCTGGCCCAGCTGCAGAGGTTACAGTGTGGCTCCCTGAGCTTCTTATGTCCTTCAGAGTTCTGTTGTCATACACAGTTTGGCCATTGTCCATTTGTATATTCTGCCTCCCAGACCACACACTGGGCCTCTGATGTTCATTTCATCCGGCTCTCTTTCCTCCCTTAACATGGCTAGACTGTCAGTTCCATAAGAGCTCTAATTACCAGTGCCTAGCCCTATCAGACACTCAGTAAAAGCTTGCACGTGAACGGATGGATGATAAATTAAAATATTTGTTACTGGCTTTTGCTGGGAGAAGAAAATGAACCATCTGTGTAGCACATGGACATCTTTATCTGACTGGACTTGCGGTCATCAGGAAGAAAAGACTGGAGGCTACTTCTTCAGCTACTCTGCTCTAAATACGTGAACTTGAATCCTTGACCCTGGCTGCTCTCAGTTTATCTTCAAACGTCCAGGTTAAGCCGTAGTGTGCAAATCAGCCCCAGGGGCTCCCTCCGGAGTTGAGTGCTCTGCTGGGGGCGGGATGACGTTGGTGGGAAAGCGGCAGTTACTTCTGGCATTCTGAAAGCAACCTCAGCCCCAGACCTTTAAGGCTTGCCGCGTTCTCTCCACCCTTTCCCCTCCTTCTCTCCCTCTAGGGCCTGGCCTGTGAGAGATACCGAAGGAGGGGGAAAGGGGATCCTTCTCCCAGCGCCCAGATGCGTTCTTAATTCTGGACTTAAGAGCGTCTAGAGAAAAACGCCCGGGGGTGTGTGCTGGGTGTAGGACTCAGACCTGAGGAGGGAGCAGAAAGCTAGTCGCGCAGGCGGTCTCGTCGGAGCTGAATTCCCACCTGCTGCAGAGGGGAACCGCCGGGAAGGGGCCGCAGCCACGTGCCCGCCCGCCCGCCCCGCCCCTGCTCACAGCGCGGCCCCGCCACCGGGGAGTTCCCGCGAGTGGCCCCGCGCCCAGGCCGCACGGGGGGCTGTTCGGCTGGAGGCGGGGAGCAGCCGGGGCACCAAAATAGGAGCCGCTTGTGGGCTGGAGCTGCACTAGCAGGCACCCTCCGCTGCGCCTCTTCCAAAGATGGTCAGAGGGTCCGGAGGCGCCCCAGCCCCCGCTCGCCGCTAGCCCGCCGGCCAGCACGGTGCCCCGGAGCCGCCGCAGGAGGTAGGTGCGCTGCGGCCCCGCCGCCCGGGGCCAGCCTGCGGGGAGCTAGCGGGGCCGGGCGCGGGAGAGCGAGGCCGCGCCGCCTCCCGAGCCCGCCCGCGGCGGTGGCGCGGAGACAATGGCCGCGCGGGCTCCGGGCCGGGCCGAGCGCGGGGCCGCTCGCGGTGCCCTCCCCACACCTGCGCTGCGTCCCGGGGCAGAGGGACGCGGGCACCCGGCCCGGCGGGCGGCGCGCGGCGCCCTCGAGTCGAGTCCCCGCGCCAGGCCCGGGGCGGGGCGGTCTCCGGGCGGGAACGCGGGCCCGGGGCCCTGGCGCGGGGCGCGCGGAAACCCCTGCGGCAGCCGCGGGGGAGGGGGCGCGGGGATGGAGGGACCGTGGCCCGGCAGCTTTCTTTTCGCTCCTTTCTTGAGCGGAAAGGTGAAAGGTTTCCTTTTCCAAGATTTCTTCATTTCCAGTTATATTTCGATCGCCTCTTTTTTTTTTTTGGCATCTCGAGGTGACTCGCAAGGGAGAAGGAGCTAGTGAAAAAGAGTGAATTGGGGCCGAGCCAAGACGGCCAAAGTCCGGTCTGTAGTGGGGTGACCCCTTGGACATTCGGTTTGCCGAACGTGGATTCTCTCTCGGACCGCCAGCCCGGGTCGGATTGCGGAGACTGGGTGAATGGGGTAGCAAATCAATATTTTTTTTTCTTTAAAGGACTACTGAAAACCCTGGGGGCCTCATTTCAGGCTCAAAGTGACCCCGAATTTAGATTGACCATCACATAAATGACGAAATAGTGTATCCACATTTTGCATTTGTTACTTAGTCTAGTTGTAGAGTATATTCGATGCGAATCAATCATCGTAAGGATTGGCATGTTTAGCATTGATTATTTGCAGTAATATGCAAAATTGAAAACAGGTTTATTTCATGTTTGTTGCAGCCATGGCTCTCAAGGGACAAGAAGATTACATTTACCATTTCAAGGATTCAACGCATCCAGTGGATTTTCTGGATGCATTCAGAACATTTTACTTGGATGGATTATTTACTGATATTACCCTTCAGTGCCCTTCAGGCATTATCTTCCATTGTCACCGAGCTGTTTTAGCTGCTTGCAGCAATTATTTTAAGGCAATGTTCACGGCTGACATGAAAGAAAAATTTAAAAATAAAATAAAAATCTCTGGCATCCACCATGATATTTTGGAAGGCCTTGTGAATTATGCATACACTTCCCAAATTGAAATAACTAAGAGAAATGTTCAAAGCCTGCTTGAAGCAGCAGATCTGCTACAGTTCCTTTCAGTAAAGAAAGCTTGTGAGCAGTTTTTAGTAAGGCATTTGGATATTGATAATTGTATTGGAATGCACTCCTTTGCAGAATTTCATGTGTGTCCGGAACTAGAGAAGGAATCTCGAAGAATTCTATGTTCAAGGTTTAAGGAAGTGTGGCAACAAGAAGAATTTCTGGAAATCAGCCTTGAAAAGTTTCTCTTTATATTGTCCAGAAAGAATCTCAGTGTTTGGAAAGAAGAAGCTATAATAGAGCCTGTTATCAAGTGGACTGCTCATGATGTAGAAAATCGAATTGAATGCCTGTATAATCTACTAAGCTATGTAAACATAGATATGGATCCAGTGTATTTAAAAACAGCTTTAGGTCTTCAAAGAAGCTGCCTGCTAACCGAAAATAAGATTCGATCTCTAATATACAATGCTTTGAATCCCCTGCATAAAGAGATTTCCCAGAGGTCCACAGCCACAATGTACATCATTGGAGGCTATTACTGGCATCCTTTATCAGAGGTTCATATATGGGATCCTCTGACAAATGTTTGGATTCAGGGAGCAGAAATACCAGACTATACTAGGGAAAGCTATGGTGTTACATGTTTGGGACCCAACATTTATGTAACTGGGGGTTATAGGACGGATAATATAGAAGCTCTTGACACAGTGTGGATTTATAACAGTGAAAGCGATGAATGGACAGAAGGTTTGCCAATGCTCAATGCCAGGTATTACCACTGTGCAGTCACCTTGGGTGGCTGTGTCTATGCTTTAGGCGGTTACAGAAAAGGGGCTCCTGCAGAAGAGGCTGAGTTCTATGATCCATTAAAAGAGAAATGGATTCCTATTGCAAACATGATTAAAGGTAAGTACAGATTATATTTCTTCTATATTTTTAAGTGTTTTTTTTTTTTAAAGTTTATTTTGAGAGAGACAGAGACAATGTGAGTAGGGGAGAGGCAGAGAATGAGAGAGAGAATACCAAGCAGACTCTGCACTGTCCGCAAAGAGCCCAATGGGGGACTTGAACTCCTGAAACTGAGATCATGACCTGAGCTGAAACCAAGTGTCGGATACTTAATCGACTGAGTCATCCAGGGGCCCCGATATTTTTTAAATGTTTGAAGTTAAGGCCAGTGGTCTAAATTATCTTGCAAATAAATTTAAAAGAATTTATCACTTTTGGAATGCTACCTAGGAACTATAATAGATTATACAAATAATGGTGGATAGAATGTTCCAAAAGCACAGTGTAGCAGTCCCCAACTCTTTTGAGCCTATGTGATTAGAATCTGCTCCTCGGACTAGAAAAAAGCCATAAGAAAACAGTATAACTCGTTCTACTTACTCTACAGCCTGTTTCAAGCCTAGGTCTTGCTTCAGGTCTTAAGAATATATATTTCAGTCAAGGCTAAATGAGAAAGCTGTGTAGTTTTATTAGTTCATATTGAATTTTTTTTTTTTTTGCTTGCTTGCCATTGAAATTAAATCCTTTTCAATCCTCCTTTTAAATATTCAGCTTTTTCCCTCTTGTTATCTGATCATCTCTCTCTTAAAAGGTCTTTCATTAAAACTTTGAAATGTTTGGTCCCTGTAGAGTGTAACAAATTACATTCTCTTAAAAACTAGAGACAGATAGCCCCTGTTTCTTGTGATTCAAGTCTTGTTTTGTAGGGTAAAAGATAGGGCAGGTGCCATACCCTCCCTCATGTGATCCACACAGCCAGGCACACTATTGGGGCTCAATGTCTGTCTTATAAACACTGTATTTTCTGCTGTGTGCAGTACTATATTAGCCTTGCTCTCCTTCCCTCCCACTGGCAAAAAAAGCTAAACTGGAATCTTAATTACATTTATTCATTTGTGCTGGAGAGTTGCACAAAAACAACTGGTAGGTTGTTACTAAATTTGTGTCATTTTATCCCAAATGTTCCTTCCCAGGCTTTTCTGTTTCTTTTTTAACACTAGAGAGGGTGTGGGAATCTGACCTGGTCTGGGAATCTGACCCGGTGTGGTCGTTGGATGACAAGCAGGAAGCCTGAGAGGCCGGATGGTCTTGTGATCAGGCACGTTGCTTCTGAAGCCAAACTGCCTGGGTCCAAATCCCAACTTTCCACTTACTGTGCTCAGGCAAATTGTTTGATCTCCCTGGTCCTCAGTGTTGTGGTCTGTACAGTGGGGGTGACAACATTATGTAGCTTAAGGTTTTGAGAGGATTAAGTGAATTTATGCACGTGAAGAGTGTAGAACAGTGGAGCAAAACACTCAGTAAGTGTTAGGTATTATTTTCGTAGGTATTATTGTCATTATTCGTTGCTCATTATGGTCATAATAAAGATCATTATAGCAGAGCATGTCAACTTTGATAGAACAAAAACATCTTTCATATTAGGGGCGACTGAATGGTCAGTCGGTTAAGTATCCCACTCTAAAGCGTCACACTCACCCTTAGTGAGATCCAGCCTTGAATCGGGCTCTGCACCGACAGCATGGAGACTGACTGCTTGGGATTATCGACCCCCCCACCCGCCCCTACCCTGTTCGCTCTCTTTCTCTCTCTGTCAAAATAAATACGTAAGCTTAAAAAAGGTATCTTTCATATGAAGTCATGCTCATTCTCCTGCATGCCCGAAGGTTCTGCTGCAGTAGGTGGTAAAGTGGGAGAAGGTGGCTTAAGGCCCACTACTGTGTTGCTCTGGTTTTGTGGTTTTGGACTCTGCCTGAGCTTGGCCCCTGATTCCTGGTCTCCTCCCTGGGATGGTCCTGAAGGTTGTCATGACTCCTATCCTACTAAAGAGACAAAGTTCAAATATCTTAGCAGCTATTGTCAACCTGGAAAAGTTTCAGCCTCTTTCTTAATAATGAGATAACATTTCCAATGCTTTCCTAGTTAAGAGTATATTTCTGTGAGGATGAAAGTTTATTACTTTACTGCAGTTTTGTAAAATCATGTTAAAAAAATTGTTTTAATATTGATTTATTTTTGAGAGAGAGAGGGACAGAGCATGATTGGGGGAGGGCAGATAGAGAGGGACACACAGAATCTGAGGCAGGCTCTAGGCTCTGACCGTCAGCACAGAGCCTGATGCGGCACTCAAACCCACAAGCCTCAAGATCATGACCTGAGCCGAAGTCAGATGCTCAAGTGACTGAGCCACCCAGGCGCCCCTGTTAAATCATATTTGAAACATACTTGCTGAGGGGCGCCTGGGTGGCTTAGTCGGTTAAGCGTCCGACTTTCGCTTAGGTCATGATCTCACGGTTCGTGGGTTCGAGCCCCGCGTCGGGCCCTGTGCTGACTGCCAGCTCGGAGCCTGGAGCCTGTTTCAGTCTGTGACTCCCTCTCTCTCTGACCCTCCCCTGCTCACGCTGTCTCTCTCTCTCTCCTAGAAATAAATAAAACATTAAAAAAAAATTTAAAAAAAAAAAAAGAAAGAAAGAAACATGCTTGCTGAAAAGAAAATGCTTCAGTGGTGTGTCCACTGTGAAAGAAAGCCGTATGTGTTCTTGCCTTCACCTTGAGTAGAATGGGAGACCCTCATACACGAACCCCCCTTACCCCAACCAGCTGGGCTTGAAATGTCAGTTTTATTTATACTTTCACCTTGAAGTTTTGATTCCTGATGATAACTAATCGTCCCTGGGAAGGGTAACACTGTGTCAGTCATGTGCAGCTTTGGCCAGTACCAGTTTTGAGTTTTAAGTTTCTCATTTTTCTAAGTTGCAAGGGTAATAGTACTTTTCCTAGTTTGTTTTGTTTTGTAGTCATGAAGTGAACTAGCAGCTTCCCCTGGTGATCAGAACTTAAACTGGGTAGCGTCAAGTTTCAAATTCATTTCCTTTTTTGGTTTAGGGATGTACAGAGAAGAAATAAATCCTTGGCTTAAGTTTAGGAGCTCCTGACCCCCCCCCCCCCCCCGTAAGCGTGCTGCTTATAAAGTCACTTTTGTGTTGGAGCAGAAATGCACAAGGATATCAAACTGCACCCAGCATGTACCAGTGGTAAATAAAAGTTGCTTGAAAGACTCAGCTGATGTATTCAACTCAAACAAGTTTCATCTTACTTCCTTTCTTCCTTCCCTGCTGAACTCGTTTCTTCCTCCTCATTTTCCTGGGGCATCAGGGTTTCCTGGTTTTCTTTTTTTTTTTTTTTTAAATGTTTTATTTATTTCTAGGAGAGAGAGAGAGAGACAGAGTGAGCAGGGGAGGGTCAGAGAGAGAGGGAGTCACAGACTGAAACAGGCTCCAGGCTCCGAGCTGGCAGTCAGCACAGAGCCCGACGCGGGGCTCGAACCCACAAACGCGAGATCATGACCTAAGCGAAAGTCGGACGCTTAACCGACTAAGCCACCCAGGCGCCCCAGGTTTCCTGGTTTTCTCAGCTTACAACCTCAGAATCAGTTTTGTTTCTGACGCAGTCAGTCATAAAGGCTTATCTGTGACTCTTGTCTCCGTACCCAAGCCCTGTCTAAATCAGGCCCTCAGCACTTTGTACCTGGGCCAATACCTAAATCTCTCTCTTTCTCTTCTGCTTTTGTAGTCTCTCCTTTCCTCTGTGTAAAAATCTTAAAAATCCTGCTGAATGAAGTTCACATTTCTTAGTTGGGTGCCAGGATCCTTTGCAATGCAGTTTCAACTTACCATGTTGGCTTTAATTCCCATACGCCAGCCCCAGGTTTGCCACCGGCCCTTCCGTGTGCTGGCATCAAACCGGGCCTCTCGATATTGCCCACTAGGCCTCTGCACTTGCCTTGCCCTCTGCTTAGGATGGCTTCCTCTCACCTCTGTCTGCCACAGTCCTACCTGTGGCTGCCTGCTGTCATGACTTCCCTTCTCAAAGCAACGTCTCCTTGCTCTGACCATTCATGGTGTTTCTGTACCGTGTTCTAATTGTTGGTGTAAGTGTCTCACCCTCTTTTAAAAGAGTGCAAGGAGGGGCACCTGGGTGGCTCAGTTGGTTAAGCATCCGACTTCGGCTCAGGTCATGATCACACGGTTAGTGGGTTCGAGCCCTGCGTCGGGCTCTGTGCTGACAGCTAGCTCAGAGCCTGGAGCCTGCTTCAGATCCTGTATCTCCCTCTCTCTCTGACCCTCCCCTGCTCACGCTGTTTCTCTCTCTCTCTCAGAAATAAATAAAACACTAAAAAAAAAAAAAGTGCAAGCAGTCTCTTGTTCATTCTTCTGTCCCTCATAGCACCTAGCACAGGACCTTGCATCTACTATTGGTAATAACAGAAACAATAAACTTAGCGCAGTATTCAGTGTGATTTTAATTAACACACAGGCGTGGGAAATGCGACTGCCTGTGTCTTACATGAGGTCATCTACGTCATCGGTGGCCACTGTGGCTACAGAGGAAGCTGCACCTACGACAAGGTCCAGAGCTACAATTCAGATATCAATGAATGGAGCCTGATCACCTCCAGTCCACATCCAGGTAATAAAATACTGTTTCAAATAGTACATGTCATACAGCTAAAAATGGCCTGGAATTAGAAAATGCTAGATTTATAGCAGACTGCCTACAGGTGGAATTAAAAGGCTTAAAATATTCATATGCCCATCTAACCATAATCACAGGTAATTCCAATTAGATCACATCCACAAATGCTTTCCCTGATGTCTTCATGTGACACATTTTAAGCCTGTGTGGCTTAAATTTAAAAATTTTTTCTCGATTCTTTTGTTGTGTTTCATAGTCCTCTGTTGTGCTCCCTATTCCTCTGTTGTGTGCTTTCTTTCATATATAAGCATTATATAAGACAATTTGTGTAGACAGTTAAAAAGCACTAGTCTGTCAGATGGTGGGAATATTACCCATTGATTCAGTTCAACAGGAGACGGTTTCTTCTTTTTAAAAGCATGTTCCTTCTGGGTTCCCGTAATTGTTAAGCAGTCACTCCTATGATGTGCAGAACCCCATGCTGGCCTTACTTGAACAATCATGAAGGGGACATGTGGTCTGCCCGCAAGGAATGGCCAGCCTTCTGCCTTCTGTGCCTTTGTTCTTTGACTTGTCTCTTTGTGACGCAGATTTGAGATTTTTCATTAGGAAAGATTCATATCACCATATCACTATACTACTCTAAATGATTTTCTATATAGCGTAAAGCTTCCATGTGAGTCACTGGTGAGCATAATTGAAATTCACAATCTTGAACTGTCTGAGAGTGATAGCAATAGTTAACCTTCTTGAACACTTTCTATAGGTCAGCTATAGACTAAGTACTTTGCATGTAATATTACCTTAAGTTCTGTCTACAACCTTATGAGTAGGTATTGTTTACCCCCATTTTACGTATTTAGAAATGGAGGCTAGAAAGGATAAGGTCACACAATTTGGAAGTGGCGGACCAAGATTCATTTAAGCAGTCTGATTGTATAATCTGTGCTATATGGCCACTGAGCAGTCTGTCTCCTGAAGGGAGCAGGATTTCCTACTTTTGACCACTGCAACTCTGTCCACCCACCCAGTCAATGTGCACTTCATCTGGCAGTTCAACTGAAGTGCACTGAATCTGATGCTGCATATCCATATGTCCTGGGCTTTGCATAACAAGAGACTTTGGCCACAGGCTGTCCTGGCTCTGAAGATATGAAACAGATAGCTTATCTCCTAGTAGCCCAGATGTATTATCTCAGCCTCCCCACCACTTTACGTTATGACCAATGAAATTATAACGGAAAGTAGTAATACCAGCTCATACAGAGTACTAGCTAACTTTTATTTAGTAAGTATGCATCAGGCACTAACTATTCCAATAATTTTTCATGTCTTAATCTAGTTAAACCTTACCGAAATCCGGTGAGCTAGGTACTACTGTTATCTCATTTTGCAGGCCACTGAGGCACAGTGATGATAAATGAATTGCCCAAGGTCAGCTAGCTAGGGGTTATTAGAGGTGAGGTTCAAATCTAGGCAATCAGGCTGAGAGGCCATGTTCTTAACAATTGCACTGGTATCTCATTTGACCCTCATGTTAACCTTATCAGTTAGATATTACTTTGACATCTTTACAAAGAAAATCCAATGTATGAAAACTCAGCTTAACAAATTAGAGGGCAGGTTTTTACATTACAGATTTAATATAGATTTCATGAAAGGGTTCCTTTAAAAATAAATGTCCTTTAACATATTTAACTTGCATATGGCTTGTTAACTACTTGAAAGGGAGTCTAAAAGTCAATGAGATGTAAGCCCAATCATGAAAATCTGTGGCCAACTGAAAAATTCAGTCAGAAATAAATATTAAGTTAGAAGTGCAAATCAATGGGAACATATAATTGTGTTTGTAAAGTTTTGCTTTATGTTGGACGTAATACGTGACGTAATACAAGAAACAAAGGTAGCAAATTAGCACCTTGCCTGGTGTGTTCTTTTTGGCTCCCAGTGTTTAAAATCTTTTTAACTGACGTGCCGCCAATATTTAAAATTCGGGAGGTCTCAAGTAAAAATCATGATCTCTGACCTTTAGAAAAATCGTAACAACCTCGGACCACATTCTTTTCTGTCCGCAATCACTGAAGGCAAGTAGTGGCCGTTCCCTTTTAGATGGCACTTCTCTGCTCCATTTCCCCAGTCTCCCCTATTCCTATCACATCATAGACCTGGCGGGCCCGTGCCATTGCTCTGCTTACCCTGGCCTGCTCCATCCAACTGGTCTGTTAGCTTCTTCACCCTTGGAGGCCTGGGGCCTGCCTCTTCTGAACTGCGGCAAGGTGTGCTTCTTACACACTTTAGGATCACCTCCTGAGGAACATAAAATGTCAGGCTCAAGTCTACCTTACAGACCTGTAGCTTAGACTACAAAGAAATCATGACTATTCTTATTTTTTAAAGGTACTATAAATGTTTTTTTTTTTCTTAGTGCCTTTGAGGGTGGTGGTTTTGTATAGTTAAAAAAACTAGGGACTCTAATTCCATTAAATTAAAGATAACATTTACTGAGAACTTACCTCAGGAAAGATACCATCCTGGTTATTATGTAAGATGCAAAGATGGCTAGGAGTGAGCCTCTACTGCCACAGGAGCTCAGAATCTGGTAGCAAATATACATACTTAACAGGGATACAAGACAGTCATAGAAATAAGTGCCATTGAAATTGAGGGTAGAAAGAGCTTGAGAATTATTTAAGGGAAATCTGGAAATCTTAGAAGGCTTCCAGGAGTTCACTGTTAGGATTTAGGCCTTAAAGAATGGATACAGTTAAGGTGTTTTTTTCAGGAAGGAAGTTAGTCACTGATGGGAGGCAGAAGGGCAAGTTCCAGGTCTATTCCAGCACTTGGGAGTGGATATGTATGATGGGATGTGAGAGGGTAGAATGAGAGATTGGATGGGAGAGTTCAATTGAGGAACATATTATAGAGGGCTTTGAATGGCAGTCAGGAGAATTTGGAAAATGGTGAACTACCAAAGGTGTTAGAGTCTTTTAGAATAGATTAGGAAAAAGACAGCAGAAAAATCTGCCGAAACTATTATAATAACTCCGGTAAGAAATGCTGAAAGCCTGAAGCAGTAGGAGGTGAAAACGGGTAGATGAGGAAGGTTATGGATTCATCATGGGAAGAGGTGAAGGAGGAGCTGGCGAGAAGGGAGGAGAGCCGCTGAGCTGGAACTTGGTTTTGTTGGAAGGACAAGTTGGAACTTGGTTCTGTAGTTAACTGTGAAGGACTGGTTGCATCACCCAGACGAGCTGCCCAGCAGGCAATGGAGGAAGAGTGTGGCCGACTTTAAAGATCTGGGTGTCATTTGCCTGGAGGTGATGACTGTCAGTGCGGAGATGGTTGAAGTGGCCTGTGAGCGTGGGACTAAGTACAGCTATGGACAGAGTCTTGGGAAACAGCACAAGTTGAGGGACGAGGTGGGAAGGAAGAGGGTGGGAAGAACAAGGAAGAAGCAGGAAGTGATAAAGAACAAAAACCTATGGAGAGCCTCGTCAAGTGGGGAGAGAGTTCTTTCCTGGCTCTGCCATTTATTCACATGAATGCTCTTGGGCAGTGGCTTCAGCTCTTGGGTTTACTTCCTAGTAAAATAAAGAGGTTAGGTTACATAAGCTTTACAGGTCTTTTCAGTGAGAAAAACCTTAGGAAAAAAATTCTAAGCCATTTCAGTATATACTGAATACCTGAAAATATTGTGGTTGTCTCTGAGCCCCTACATGGCTTTATTCATAACATTCAGGGAACACTAAACACAGACTGCTGTGTATTTATAGTGAATATTTGTGTGTAAACTTTTGAGCCATGACAGATGGTACCATTCTTATACTTAGTTTGAAATTGTTCATTCGTTCGTTGGTCCAACAGAGGCTTGCTGAGTATTTCCCACATGTTGTGTATAGTGTTATGTTATGTATAGAAATGGATAGTGCTGGGAGCCCAGTAAACAAAGCACAGTTCCTCAGTCTCCGTAGCTTCGTAGAGTGACCAATGGACAAAAAGGCAGTTACAGCTGAGGAAGAAAAAGTTTCCATCAGCAATAACAGAACATGTTCTGTTGTATGTGGGTAACGGGAAAAAACCCAGGAATCACCTTATCTTCAACGTTTTTCCTCTATAGGAAGATTGAGATACTTAAAAAAATTTTTTTAAGTTTATTTATTTTGATGGGGCGCCTGGGTGGTTCAGTTGGTTGCGCGTCTGACTTCGGCTCAGGTCTTGATCTCACAGCTTGTGAGTTCGAGTCCCACATCAGGCCCTGTGCTGACAGCTCAGAGCCTGGAGCCTGCTTCCGATTCTGTGTCTCCCTTGCTCTCTGCCCCTCCCCTGCTCACTCTGTGTGTGTGTGTCTCTCTCTCTCTCCTTCAAAAATAAATAGACGTTTTTTAAAAAAATTTAAAGTTTATTTATTTTGAGAGGGAGAGAGAGCCCAGGCAGGGGAAGGGCAGAGAGATGGAGAGAAAGAGAGAAGGAGAAAATCCCAAGAAGGTTCACACTGTCAGCACAAGTGCCTGACGCAGGGCCCACGCCCGTGAACTGTGAGATCATGACCAGAGCTAAAATCAAGAGTCGGAGGCCCAATCGATTGAGCCACCCAGGATCCCCTTGCGATACTGTTCTTTACATAAGAACCACAAATTGAGAATTTTGTGTAAACTTTGGAATTTAAGAAAGGCCTAGCGAAGTCATTGTTGAATCACTTAACATCAACAGATAAAATTTCTGAATCACCGTTAATTTTCATGATCATTTGATGGAATGATTTCTCTAATTTCACAAGTACTGAAACAACTAAATTCTGTACAAATTCTGCATGTATATAACTAGAAAGTAACAAATGGGGTTTTTAGAGGTGGAAGAATTCTTATTTTCCTGGATGTCAGTCAGATACTTGAGAACAGCAAAGTACAAATGCCCATCTTCTGAGATTTTTCCTTGGCAATCTAGATAGCAGGAACTTTACTGATAAGAATGTACGTGCATTCTTAAAGGGGAAATCACGTTTTTGATCACGTATTCTCTCTTTCTAAAGAGGGGTTGATAAGCTTTTTTCCCCACAAAATGATGGGGGTGCATATTTGGGTAAGGAGGGTACAAAGTACAGTTCATTCATGGATCCAACAACCTTACATTGAGTTTTTACAAGGTTGCAAACACTTGCCATTCTCCAGCTGGGATGCAGTAGTGGGCAGGACACAGGTTCTACACTGAGAGAGGGTAGAGGGACAGTAAAGAAGAGACATCAGATGATGAGAAGTGCTGTGGAGAACATTAAAACAGGGTGATGCAGTGGAAATGCCTGACTGGCTACTTCAGGTTGGATGGTCAGAGGAGGGCCCTCCGAGGAAACGACTGCAAGGTGAGACCCGGATGACAAGAAGGAGGCAGCCGTGCAAAGACCTGGGAAAAGAAGAGTTTCTAGACCCAACGAACAGCTCGGCAACAGCTAACTGAGCCTTCATCTCTTTGCTGTAACATTAGTGCCCCTGACAGATCCTGCAGCCAGAAGCATTTAAGTGTAAGCCTCTGGTTGCTATTCCCAGACAATGAACTCACAGGCCAGTAGTGGTGCTCAGAATAGAGGGATGTGGAAGAAGCCTGGGACTCAGCATGCCTGGGACCGGGCTGAGGCAGGAGAGACGCTCCCTCGAGGCACAGAATTGGAGGAGTCCCTCCGCGAGTGAGAGCAGAGAGGCCCTGTGTTTTGCACTTGAGGCCCCTCTCTCTCGCCTCACCCTGGGCACAGACCTGGGAAGGGAGAGGAAGCGAGGTTGCAAAAGAGCTCGATGCCTTGAAGAGCCAGCAGAGCGGAGAGGGAGATCTATAAAAGTGGGAAAAATTAAAACAGCCCGGAAGGCTTGCCCCACTGGAGGCAGACTCCCGCCGGGGCCCCAGCCCTCGCACAGCAGCTCTCTGCCTTCCAGCGTCTTTCACAGGCTCTTAAGGTGATAGACTGCAGTTCCCCACGAGTCTGACTGTGCTTCTCTAACTCCTTGTGTCCTTAACTTGACAAGCGCCGAGAGGGAGGCAGGCAGGGTCATCCGTGCGGCACTGTGGCTACAGGCACTGCTGACGACAGGGATGGTGGGAGGGATGGCTGCTAAGACCTGAAGGAACCTGCACTAGTTACCTCGTACGTCTTCGCGTCAGAACATCAGAGAGACTCCACAACTGTTACACGTGGATGTCGTGAAAGGTGTCTGTGCTGCGAAATTCCCAGAAGGGTCTGAGGATGAGCTCCTCCCTGGCATCCTGCAAAGTCAGATGCAGAATTAGCTGAGAAAGAATGGCAGGGAAAGGTAATCTCAATCAGGTGATAGGGGATGGGTTTCAAGGCTCAGTGTCGTAGAGGAATCAAAATGTCAAGACGACTCTAGTTTTGTCTGCTGCCTTGTAAGGGATTATTATATCATCACCCTAAGGGATCTCTTTTGTTTGTTATCCTAATAAAAATTTGCTTTTTTTCCTCTCTAATAGAGTATGGATTGTGCTCAGTCCCATTTGAAAATAAGCTTTATCTAGTTGGTGGACAAACTACAATCACGGAATGCTATGACCCTGAACAAAATGAATGGAGAGAAATCGCCCCCATGATGGAAAGGAGGATGGAGTGTGGCGCCGTCATCATGAATGGATGTATTTATGTCACTGGGGGATATTCCTACTCGAAAGGAACTTATCTTCAGAGCATTGAGAAATATGATCCAGATCTTAATAAGTGGGAAATAGTGGGCAATCTTCCAAGTGCTATGCGGTCCCATGGGTGTGTTTGTGTATATAATGTCTGACTGCATCCATAGAAATGACCACGTGATCACTGTGTAGTGGAAAAAAAAAGAATTCGGTGTTTGGAGTCCCTTACTTATTATTGCGGCCTGGCACATATGTGGCCTGGCACAAACTCCCATGCCTAACCCCCACTCTTCACTTAAATGCAGTGATTAATGGTCAAGAAAAATCCTATGTATATTTACAGTTGAATCAGTAAGGTTAACAGCATATAATCTCTGCTTTTGTAGGTAATATGGAATGCTGGACACTTGGTAGAAGGTGAAATACCTTTATAGTGAATTTTTCTCCTGGTAGCATCAACACTGGGTATAGGTCAGAATCATTCCGTGGAATGAAATGTCTTTTATGACCCTGTAATGTATTGTGTATATTAAGGTTCTATTTAGCTAGCAAGGAATTTGACATGTAAGGGGGGAATCTTCTCTACCTCTACAAAATCAACACTTTAAAGCAACTTTTTTTTTCACTGTTAGACTGATTTAGAATGTGGCCTGATGTTAAGTCTTCTTTTCTTTTTAGTGTGTATAATTTATTGTTCTTCTTTAGTTATTGACCGTGAGAAGTATACAAGAAACTGTGCAAAAGATTATTACTATTCAGAGTTTACAAACTAAATTTGAAAGAATGGCACATCTGAAAAGTTGCAGAGAAAAATAGTCAAATATTTGCTGATGCTAAGAGCTATTTTTAGTTTCAGCTTTGATGTAAATTGCTAGTTTAGCTGTCTTTTTAGTTCAAGCATGCTAGGAAATCCTCTTTATTCTTAAGTATAGATACATATCTGCATACAAAATTGAATTTTAGAGCCAGAAAGCATGTAGAACAGTTGTGACATAGTAGAAAACACATTGATGAGAAGAAATTTGCATTCATTTCCCAGCTGTGCCACTAACTAGATTTTTGTAACTTGAATCGAGTCACTTAACCTCTCCTCGATTAGTGCTTCATGGCCCATGCACTTTGGGTCATAGGTGTGCCTAGATGTGGGGCCCCATAACCCTGGGGACAGCCAGAGGTAGCCCGGGTGGCTGGAGCTTCTGGGCAGAAACACCTTAGTCCACTTTCCCCAGTGTGCCTGCAGTATTACTTTCTGTGTGTGCCAAAACTTGAGACAAGTTGGGAAGCATTGCTGAAGTTATCTGAACTCTTAGTGACTTTTTAGACCATCTATCCACACTCTTCATCCTTTTAAAAAGACAGAAGTTATTTTTAACGTTAAATGTCGAAGTTGAAAACTACCTAGTGCTTTAGATTTTTTTTTTTTTTAGAAAGTAACTGTTTAATGCATTCATTTCAGATGGGATTTTAAATAGACACAACCCTTTGGGAATGCAATATGGTACTACAGAGAGAGAGCCAAAAAAATGACCATATCTTTGTTCCATAAATTCTACTCCTAGGTTTTAACCTAAAGAATAATATAAAAACAAAACAAACATGTGCATGAGGATGTTTATGTCTGCATTACTTATAATAGCAAAGAATTGGAAATAGTCCACATGTGAAAGCAGAAAGTGGGCTAATAAAATAGTGAAGTATTATACTGCCACTAGAATAATTATTTGGAAGACTGTAAAAACATGGATGTGTCTGTGATACGGTAAGTAAAATAAGCACAATGTCAAAGAGAATACGCACTATGATTGTAACTTTGTAAAATCCTTTTGCAACTTTGTAAAATCCTTTTGCGTGTAGAAGGTAAAATGCAAACTGAAGTCCATTGTGTTAGTGTGGGGGGAATGTGGAATGATTTTTAATTTATTTAAGTGTTTTTCCTTAATATGACTTCGTGTTTTCAATAAAAATAAGTAAATCACAGTATACGTGGTAAAACTGCTTGAATTTGGGCTGAGTGAGTCCAAGGATAGTCAGAATTAGAGAAACCACAGAATTATAGACTATTCTGATCTGTAATTGAATTATAGACTGTTTGCTTTCAAGAACACTTAGCTGGACCAGTAATGTGATGCCCAGTAGCGCTTTAGAGATCTGTTTTATGGAATAGATGAAAACAATTTAAATCACCTTCCCCTGCTTTTAGCTAAGCTACATCCTATAAAACCCTGATTCGAATCCAACCTCTAGGAATTCTTTCCTGACTGCTCCAGCCACAGTGAAACTTTCACTGTCACATTTAAATAATATATAATTTATATATATATGTAGTATATATAATTTTGAGATCATGAATCACATCTGATTATTTTAAATTTTTCAAGGCTAGCATTTCATTTGTATATCCAGTGTACTTTTTAAAGAAAGATGATGGTATCCGTTACTTTTATGGAAAAGCACTCCACGGGTGCTTGAAAGATCTTGAAAATAGTTTGTGACTTGAGGCATTTAATTTGCTGCTCCGATATTCTGTAAAATTCTGTTTTTGCTATTGCTTTGTGCACACAAGCAAGGACTGAGGAAGGTAAGGTAAACATTTACACCAGAATTATCCCAAGTTCCAAATCACTGTAGTATGAGTGAAAAATATTGTGCTATAATAAAATGCAAGCCATTGCTTTGGGAAGGCCAGCACTGTTTTGCAAAATAATTACAACGGTAGAGATGATTTTAAATAGATGATTTTGAGGTTAATAGTTAAGAGGACTCTAAGTATCCACATTTTAAAGTTAATGTTTCTCACAAGTCATATGTTTAGTTTTGAGCTGCAACCAAAAGGGTCAAAAGGGTCAACATCTGGAGTACTTGCTTACACATACATTAGCCTTTTGATCTCCTGCGATCACGTGCATAAATGCTGGTGTTAAGGACTGAATGTTTGTGCCTCCCCAAATTCATAGGCTGAAGCCCTTATCCATTGTGACTGTAGAGATAGGGCTGCATGGGAGTAATTAAGGTTAACGAGGTTATAAGGGTAGGGCTCTGATCAGATGGGATTAGTTTCCTTGTAAGAGACACCAAAGAGCTTTCTCTTTCCCTGCCTGAGTGAGGACACAGAAAGCTGCATCTGCAAGCCAGAGAGAGAGCTCTTACTGGAAGCCGACCATACTGGCATCCTGATCTCAGACTTCCAGCCTCCACAAAGGTAAGAAACATTTCTATTGTTTAAGCCACCCAATGTGGTGTTTCACTCTGGCAACCTGAGCTGGCTAATGTAGCCTGCAAAGAAGCTAGTGCTTTATATGATACAGTCAGGTGCTGAATCAGCCGGGAGTAGACAGGCTGTTCCCTAGACAATCCCCCTCCCTTCCTCCCAGTCCCTCCCACACACATCACCCAGAAACCCCCATTTTATTAGTGTGAAAGTGTCTGAAACTCTATAAATACAACTTTATTTTTCTTAGATGATAGTAGACGTAGCTAGGGGTTTCTGTCTGTCTAGTTCTTGCTAAGACTGTATCTGTACTGATGCCCTGACTCCCTCCCTATGGGGACGCCTACACTTGGGCGTCCTCCCCAGCCATAGTGATGAGTCCAGAGCTGTGGTTGGCCAAGGTCCCAAATGAGCTGGTTTGAGTGGATAAAACTGATACATAGAAGACAGCGAGTGCGGATGGGAGGTGACACTGGTGTCTTGGGTCTAGGCCTTCTTGATGCAGCTCCATTCCTGTCTTTTCCACACTTTGATTCTGTGAGCCAGTAGGTCTTTCTTTTGTTTTGATTTGGGTTTCTGTTTCCTGCAGCCAGTAGAGAGCTCTGACTAATATCAAGCAAATGTTAAAATATAAATATTTTTTTGGGTAATGCGCTAGTTTTCTATTGCTGCAGTCACAAGTCACCACAAACTTAGTTGCTTAACACAGGACAAATTTGGTTTACAGTTCTGCAGGGTATAAGTCTGACATGTGTGTCACTATACCAGTTTTGGTCACCTTACTTCAATCTGCCACCTTTGCCATGTAGCCTAACATATCCATAAGCTCTGGGCATTGGGACAGGGACGTCTTTAGGGGGGCATTACCCTTCCTACCACAACAGTAATATATTAAGTCTTATCCTGGCTTTTGGAATTCCATGTGGTTGAATTTATCTTATTTACTCAGAGAGGTTCTGATAGAAGGAAAATGAAACCATGATGAGTCTCAGGGACCCCTGAGGACTGGAAGGTAACAGTAGATGTAAAAAAGAGAAGTTAATAGGGTCATTTGCCATTAGATCATTCTGCAAAGGACTGGCCTTTCTACTGGCCCTGGAAACAATATATAAATGTTTATTATTTTTGAGAGAGAGAGCGAGCGAGCACATGCGTGGACCAGGTGAGGGGCAGAGAGAAAGGGAGACAGAGGATCAGAAACAGGCTCTGTGCTGAAAGCTGAGAGCCTGATGCAGGGCTCAAACTCATGAGCTGCAAGATGGTGACCTGAGCCGAAGTCGGACACTCAACCAACTGAGCCACCCAGGCACCCTAAACCTGAAAAAAATATATAATGGAAGAAAAATCACTGTAATTATGTTAAAGACGTGGATTGCCAACTTTACAACCATTCTTTACTGGAAAGAAAAGCTCCACATATTTTTGTCTATTAGGAAAACATGTACCTTGAATCTTAGTTAGTCTCAGCCAGTCATGGCTCTCTCATCATCCTTGTCAGTGTTTGGTTCGGGAATGTGTGTGAAGCATTTCAAACCTGTAAGACAGGAGAAGTCTGCTGGGGGTTGTTACAGGAAAAACATAGGAGATAGATAGGAGGACTCTATGTGGTAAATCTCTTTCTTGAGGTTACTATACAAAGTGTTTTCTTAACAATTTTGTCACTATATTAAATATCAGCATATATACGAAAACCCCAAAGTACTTCATAATATTAAGTGTTTCATAGGTTTTTAGCTCTAGCAGTGATGGTTGAACAGCTAAAAAATAGAGCAGTGTTAGGACAAGATTATTTTTTATGAAATTATAAAATATTAATACTGGCAGTAAAGGCTCATCAGTTATCGCAATAGTTAAGAACATGACTTAGCAATACTTCACATTTGAAGGGCTCAGTATGAAATTAATACCATTGTCAAGAAATTAGAGGAATTTTAATTTGTATTGAAGGTAATAAATAGAGTGTCACCTAACAATATATAGTAGTCTAGTCTTAAAATTTGAATATGAATTCCAATGGTATTTTGAAATTGTGAATCATAAACTGTTAACTCTTATGTTAGCCCTCCAATTTATTTATTTTTTCTTTTATTGTTTATTGTCAAGTTGGTTTCATAGAACACCCAGCGCTCATCTCAACAAGTGCCCTCCTCCATGCCCATCACCCCCTCTCCCATTTCCCCCACCCCCATCAGCTCTCAGTTTGTTTTCAGTATTCAAGAGCCTCTTATGGTTTGCCTCCCTCCTTCTCCCCAACTATTTTTTTTCCCATTCCCCTCCCCCATGGTCCTCTGTTAAGTTTCTCTTGTTCCACTTATGAGTGAAAATATATGGTATCCGTCCTTCTCTGCTTGACTTATGTCACTTAGCATAACACCCTTGAGTTCCATCCATGTTGCTACAAATGGCCAGATTTCA